CTCCATATTTCCATAAACTCAGAAAATCTGCAGAGCATTACGCAGCTCTCACAATACTCATCTCAGTGACACATCATTAGTACAGATCAGATGAACGCTGTCTGAGAGAGGCAGCTTTAGAGAAAACAGGAAAAAAAGAGCATAAACACCATTTCTACAGACATACTTTCACTTAAAAAAAATCTCAGATAGCAATGTTATTCCTCTTCTCGCATCCAAAAGTATGTCAGATGAATATTGTTTTTTCCTCTAAATTCCCTCAACCTGTTTTTCGGAATTTCATGATAGTTTTATCCGGAGCTTTTTTCCCTCCTCACTGTTTCCATTTTACTGCCTTGGGGGAGAAGATTTCTGGGTAAGTGAGATAACAAGTGCTTCAGGTATGACAGCAGCATCCAGTGGTCTAAGATGTCACAGAAGAATTACAGTTTTTTCAGTATCGCACAATACCTTCCAAGTTCATCTGGATGAATATTCTGTTATTTTGGTGACTGAAAGGTGACATCTTACCTTAAATCCAAGCTGAGCTGCTTTGATAGCAGCAACATACCCTCCAGGGCCAGATCCAATAACGGTGACATCGGCATCAACTGAAACAAGAGAAAGTTTGAGTGATTTGTTTCAACAACTAAATTTTCAATTATAGCAATACTAGTCAATCATTTTTTGAGATAGGTCATATTTGAAACTTTTAAAAAAAAAGGCAGAACAGCCTATAAAAATGATGCTACATAATAAAATTGGGATACACAAATTACATTTCACATTGGCGAGTATCACGCTAGACAAAAAGAAAACTGGGAGTAGTCACTCTGCAAGTAAAAATAATTGCTTTTATATTTTAAAGAGAAAATTATGTAAGATCAAACGAAGAATTGGACCCACCCCTCTTTATAGAAAACCTGTAAGAATTTGACCCAGGGTGTTTCAACAACTTTGACGTTTTCCCACCTATTTTCTCCTGAGGCTTAGTGCAAAGCTAAGCGCTCACCGAGTGCCACAGCCTCACCAGCCCATTCTGCAGCAAGCAGCGCGGAAGGCGGCAACTCAGCACGCGGTATTGGCCACGAAGGCAGCACAGGGCACGGCCCCTGCCCCGGACGCGCTTCTTGCC